TTTCGTTTGTGTATTCTCACCCTCAAGGCTATCCCTTCCCTCACTCCGCCCAAGTTGTCTAGGTCTTGTATATTCTCTCCTATTCTCTTCTCCACAAGCTCCACTTGCACAGCTGTGATTATCGTAGGGGTCGTCCCATTCGATATCCATCCCTCTCCCCCCCTCCGATGTTTTCCACTCAACGAAAGCTTGGCGTTTTTATTAATCTTTTATACATTTTGGAATTCCCTGGTGTTCACTTTTATTTATTTATTTTGAATACATACATACATACATACATACATACATATGATTAGCTATATAACTAAAAATTTGACTCTTTACCAGAGTTTAGAAAACAATGCTATAACAGCAACCATAGAAGACTATTTATGTGGTAAAATCTGCTATTAGAATTTAGCCAAAGGTTTCAAGTACTGGTCCTAATACAAGCAAAACCTAGTATGGTTCTACAAGACCTTGTAATGAGATGCTTCGCCTTGCATGGGAACACAAAGAAAGCACCACTCTTTTTGTAGCTACTTTAGGCTAACTCTATCATACAGCAAGTCGTGAAGAACTTGTGAATGTTCTGGTACAAGCAGAATTCCAGTTATCAGACTTTTCAAATATGCTCAGAATCAAATAGGCTATAAAATCTTTTTAACTTTCTTGGTTAATTATTACATTGAACAAAACGGTTCATCTATACACTCACATTTTTCATTATAAAACAGGCCCTCCAAACTGGTCTTGTAGAAGTCTCTCCATGATTGAAATACTCTGTAAAAAAACATCACAGACTAGATCACTTTGAAATCTAAATATTTTACAAATAACTCTATGCATACCCCAGTGTCATCACAAATCTCTTGCTAACACAATTAGAGTCACTCTGGTAAAGGAGAAACATCTGCATATGTAACACAAAACTGGCAGTTCAAACAGTACAATACACCTTCAATTCTTCTTTTCATAACAGAATTTGGCAATTGTGTTTACCATGCCAACTTTGGATCAGTTCCAAACCAATAAGCCCAATGATCCACATTTTTAAAATTTAAAATGCAAAGTGCTTCTTTATAAACTTTAAATATTGGAACTTGTAGCTCCTTTTTCTGTTTTCATCATCTCCACAGGAAGTGAGAATTGGCTAATACACTCATCCATCTAAATTAAGTTTGCCACCATTTACTAAATACAGTAGGAACTGACAAATGTGAGAACGCTTGAGTTTTGCACTGGGAATCTTAACATGTTATTTATTGAATCAATTATGTTCACAGTACGAAAGCTGCCTTCCCTTTCTTCCTCACAGCACTGCTGCCTATAATATAGGGGTTAGGAAAGAAGAGTGGGGAAAAAGAAATATATAAAATGAGTAATGGTCAATTGCAGTCATATATGACTGAAAGAATGGTACTGCTCAATAAATATATTCCTTACAACTGAGGTCATTTTAATTTTATCAACTAAGCTGAACTTTTTGTTGTAGCAAACCTTGTTTGTTATATGCAAATGTGACAGTGGAACTTAACTGACCTCTGTAGTGAAAGGAAAACTATAAGTATTTTCTTCTAAAGGTAACTTTGGGCTTCCTTCGCCTTGCTAGACCTCACATAAAGTGAATTAATATAGAATGAGAAAAAGCTGTATTTCATAATAGGTTCAATATGTCATATTATCTGCTGCATCATGTGGCTTTGCTCTGACTTTTAAGATTGCACCAGATATGTCCAGTGCATCCATGTACTTCTGATTGAAAATACTTTTGACCTCTTTGTCTTGTTTTGCTTGTGCCATTATTACAGAAAATGATGAAAATAGAAACAACTGAAAGAAAAAGGTGAACCATCTGCAAGTAAGATGAATGTCAAGTAAATACTGAAATAAAGTTTCTGAGTATATTTGGCAGCATCTCAGAATAAATCTGACCAGATGAGTTAAAAAAAAGTTATCAAAGGGAATAAAAAGAAAAAGATCTCATGTACTGTAGCATCATTATGTTCTATCTACACAATCTTAATCTATTTTGAGTTCTGACAATTATCCCAAAGAACCCCAAAATGTGCCACGATCAATTGTTTACATTATTCAAAAGTGCCAGGAGTTTTCAATTTTTCTTCTAATCAATTTTATAATGTATACAATCACATATTTGCTTGACCATGTGTCTGTTTGTGATTGAACACACATACCCAGTCTTATAATTAGATTCTGAGAAGATACCATGACAGAACAACCATAAACAGCAGCCTCATATAGCCACATTTGGGGATAATTTATGAATTAAAAGGAGTTTGGATTAGCTGAAAATGAGGCACTTATACAAATGTCTTTGCTTCAAGTGCTCCCCGAAACTCTAGCTGAACGAAAACTTCAAATAAATACAGTATAGGCAGTTGGTGACCTATTATATTAGTTTAACAAATACATATATGGGAATGTCTTTTGTGCCAATACTTGTTTTGACACCTTTTAATATAAAGCAACTAGAATATTGCACATAGCAGAAGAAAGCACATTAGATGTCAAGAACCTGGGAATTAAATTTAAAAAATAAATCACTTACCCTTTTGACTCCTTGATTTAAAAATGATTGTGCAAAAATTTCCAGTAAGCAATTCAGCAGTCCAGTCCCTTTTACTGTTATATTTCCTTTCTGAACAAACTCTGTCCTACAAAATGAAAACGTAACTAAATTGGACCATTGTCTGCAATACCTACAGTGACTGGCGCAAGGTCACTCAATTGCCTTCATATATAAGATAGGATTAGAAAAACCCACTAATAAAGGATTCACTCACCCACACTTGTTAATGACAAAAAGAATGAGTCAAGTATGAGAATAGAAAATGCCTTCATATATTTTGGTAGTGGCCCATGTTTGTCATGGTCATTATAAATTCCAAAACAATGTGTTAAACTGTTCTTGGAATAAAAACAAAAATAATGAGGTCAAAGCTTAGAAAATATTAAAAATCATCTCTCCAAAGTTACATATCATACACAATAAAAGTGTGGGTTTTTTGGCTGTGGTTTTATGTCTAGTTCATTAGTTTCATATCTTCCTTATATCACCCAAAATATGCCTACATTATACAAATATTGTAACATAAAATGTAAGCACTATAGTGGTTTAGAACAAATATGTAAATAACATATTATAGTTTAAACTTCTTTAGTGATTATTAATGAAAATCTTGAGATCATTTGCTCTAATTCAGCCCTACACACAGTGGTGCATATAATACGCAATGTTTCTGCTGAAGTGATGTGACAGCATTGTCTTTTCTAATGGCATTTAATAATCATGCCTTGAGTACATGTGTGAGCCAAAGAGACTGCAGACAGCTATTTCCCTCTTCCCCAATCTCCATCGGTAGTTATCATTTTCAAAGCTGGAAGAAATAAGAATGAAAATAGGTTTGCTGGTATTACTGTAATATCTATATGAAAGAAAGAGAACTATCAAATTTCGCCATTCCTTTGCCTTACCTAATTGAAAAGCTACAAGGCTTCTATCCACTGCTTATTTTCCTCAGAAGAAATTTCTCTGAACGTTGTTCATTTGATTTTTAAACAAGTTTGCATTGGTAATTATGAAAGACAGATCTAGATAGTATCTGTTGATATCTCATCGAGGAGTTGAACCCAACTTGACAGCACCTAAGTATCTGTGCCACTTATTAAATTTTAAACTAGAGTGTTAAGATTAAGAAAGAGAAAGGGAAGACTACCTTACTTTGTCAGTTTGCTAAGCAACAGACTGTTTTAAGTATTGGATAAAGTGATATAATCATAAGTATAAACAAGTATGAGAAAGCAAATCATGTCCATATTTTAAACATTATTTTTAGCCATGATTTTATAAAATACACCAGAAATATGCATGCATGCATGGAGAAGGGGGGTATGCAAATTACTGTGGTTTTCTCCCCTAGTAATTGCTTTATTGCATTGTAAGATATGAAAATTACATTATTAAATACAGATAGTAGCTAGGCACAGTGGTTTAGATAAGTCAAACCTTTAAAGAGAAAAAATGTATGTCAATGTTCAATATAATATCTAAAATGCAAATACTGTAAAGTTGCTTGAATTGTACAATTAAAACTAAGAACGGCATTGACAGACAATTCCGTGCATTTATTTATTTTATAATATCAAAAACGTTCTGATCTTAATGCTTAATAATGTCTCCACTATGTTGTTATTTACTATTGTTTATAATTTTTTTTAAAAAGACAAAATAGTAGATATTTCATTTTCAAGGTCCTCCTTCTTTATACTCTGTCCAATTTGCAGTATTTATAAATATTTAGATCCCCTTAGAAACTATAAAAGCTTTTGTTTCTCAGACTCACATCTCCAGTATCAAAATTAAAGTTAATTCACACTTTCACTGCACTGCATGGATATGCCTTTGAAATCAGAGCCCTGTGTTATATACTAAAGAAAATTTCATGAGGTACTACTGTAGACACAAATGTTTACATCTAAATAGCACTCTAAATGACAATGCAAAAATTCTGGAGTGCACTTCTCATCCTTGACATTGTTTCCCTGAAGCTCCCAAAATTGGCAGCCACTTTAGTTATTGGCACAGCTGGTGTAATTCAGTGCTCTAGACTGTACAAGGACTAGAATGTACAACAGAATTGCTGGTCTGTTTGTATTAACAAAGGATTTATTGCAGGAACAGCCAGCCTTTGTGCTGGTTACCACTTATACATGATCCCTTTATGTTGTTTTTTAATTTAATAGTGAAATATAGAAATCTACAGCACCAACAAGGGAAAAAAAGTATTCCACGAAATAAAGAAAACCTAGATATATTATAGTAAATGAAGCTAAACTTTACACTAAAAAGAAACCAATAAATGCATGGAAAGGGAAAGAAAAGATCTGTAGAATTAATTCCTTAAGCTTATCATCAATTATAGACCATACAGAAACATTTTGTTAGAATAGAATAGAATAGAATAGAATAGAATAGAATAGAATAGAATAGAATAGAATAGAATAACAGAGTTGGAAGGGACCTTGGAGGTCTTCTAGTCCAACCCTCTGCTCAGACAGGAAACCCTATACTAGGAGTCCCCAACCCCCGGTCCATGGACCAGTACCAGAACGTAGTGTGTCAGCAACCAGTCCACACAAACAAGCAAAGCCCCATCAGTGGGATACAGGCAGCACACAAAATCACACTCCCTCTGGTTCGCAGAAAAACCTCTTTCCATGGAACTGGTCTCGGATGCCCAAAAGGTTGGGGACCTCTGCCCTATACCATTTCAGACAAATGCTTGTCCAGTCTCTTCTTAAAAACTTCCAGTGTTGGAGCATTCACAACACTGGAGGCCAGTCGTTCCACTGATTAATTGATCTAACTGTCAGGAAATTTATCCTTAGTTCTAAGTTGCTTTTCCCCTTGATTAGCTTCCATCCATTGCTTTTTGTCCTGCTCTCAGGTGTTTTGGAGTATAGCATGACTCCCTCTTCTTTGTGGCAACTCCTGAGATATTGGAACACTGCTATCAGGTCACCCCTAGTCCTTCTCTTCATTAGACTAGACATAGCCAATTCTAGCAACCGTTCCTTATATGCTTTAGCCTCCAGTCCCCTAATCATCTTTGTTGCTCTTCTCTGTACTCTTTCTAGAGTCTCAACATCTTTTTTACATCGTGATGACCAAAACTGGATGCAGTATTCCAAGTGTGGCCTTACCAAGGCATTGTAAAGTGGTATTAACACTTTATATGATCTTGATTCTATCCTTCTGTTAATGCAGCCTAGCACTATGTTGGCTTTTTTAGCAGCTGCAGCACACTGCTGGCTCATATTTAAGTGATTGTCTACTTGATCTCTGAGATCCCACTAGATCTCATTTCATCTTCATTTTTAGAACAGAGGCTTTTCCAAACTCCATAATTATTTATTATACAAGTTTATATGGTTACCCAACCTACGCACAGGTGACTCCAGATAGCTTACAACATTAAAAAATCCACAACATAAAAACTAATAAAAAACCTTCTCCTCCATGGCAACAGCAACACAATCAAATCAATCCACTTGATCGGCCTATCTTCATTCATGGTCCCCAGGTCCAATGACAAAAACACATCTTCAGGACCTTTCAGAAAAGCAACAAGGTGGGGGCCAATCATACCTCAGTTTATAATTGATATAATAGACATATTCTGGATTTATTCTTTAAAATCAGGGGTGTAAGTTCTTTTCCAGTTATATTCTTCCAAAGCCCTTCATGAATTGATAAATTCCACGCTTTAGGAATATAATTCAGCATCACATTAAGATTCTTATCTACAGTAAAATACAAAATTGTACTTATATATGTATTAATTTATAAAAACAGATGAGTATGTTACAGAACTGTCACATATCTTTTCTTTTTGATAATTTTTTAAATTTTTATATCTAAAGTTAAAATACAAACTTCAACAAACATAAATAAATAAAAGGGAAACAACAAGCAAAGCAAGAATTGTCACATATCTTTAACACCAATATAAAAATAAATAAAAGTTAAAAAATCTATGTCCATCCCTTTTTAAACTTTGAGTGGTCTAGTAAATATGAAATAATATCTTCTGGAGAAATATTTTCTAATGATTTTTTTTTCATTTTTAAACCATAATACATATATTATATACTTATTAATACCTGGACCCAATGATATTCTAAAATTAGTCATTCCAATTCTTCATTCTACAATTCAGATATAACTAACACTAACTTTCATTTTAACTTCCTAATTCCTTATAATATTAAATTATTAGTTCATGTTCAAGCATCAGAACTCTAAGGAATCCATAACAGGCCACTACAACATCCAAGATATACTATTAATTAATAAATGTTTCAGTTACATATATATTGCTGTGCAATTATAGGCAAGTCATTTTCAACACATAATATCAAGAAGTCTTTAAGACAACTGCTAGCAATCAAGCAATTTAAATTGCTGAATCCTTGTTAGCCCAATCACTCCAATAAAACATCATCCCCATTTTTTTCTAATGAAGATATTCCTCAATATTAATTTCCCATGTGATTTAGGATGAAAAAGTAACCTCTTGCCCATTAATAACTAAACATGCCTGCACTCAAGAAGCTCAAAGATCTGTGTGGACCATTTGACAATATGAGAAGAAAATAGAACTGTATTTTAGAATCAGTGCTACTCAATATATAGGCTTCATTGTTCACCAAATTCTGAAATATTCTACCAACACAAATGAAATCAGTTAACATTTTTAGCATGCAGAGCTATACCAATAGAAAACCAAATTATATTCCTTAGCTCTTTTGTTCTACTAGCAAGCAGAAATTAGGTAGGTTTAGAAAGCTTAGCACTGCAAAATTCAGTTTGACTTTTTAAACTGAAATACTTCTCCGAAGGATTACAATAGGATATCCAGAAATCCTTTTACCGCAGATCAAGGATCAAGGACTAATTTTCCACATATTTCTACATGGGAAGCTCTGGGAGGCAGAAAGCAAACTAACTTTGCCATTTTACCTTCTCCTTTTCTATGATTATTGAAAAAAAAACATATTTTGCAACGCACACCAGGGTAAAGCTGTAATTCCAAAAGGAATAAATGATCCTGCTGTAATTTCAAACTGTGTCTTTCAGGTATTGTCAAAAGTAATCTCAGCATACTCTAAAAGCTAGGCAAGTGAGAAAAATTTATAGTGTTACAACCTTTTTCAAGGTGTAATAGTCCTACAGTAATTCTCTGTTGACATTATAAGAAATTTATTTATTTGATAAATATTGATTCTGGATATTTTCACACTATTTTTTCCTAGAATATCCAGTGCTATCTTACACTATTCAGCTTACTCAACATTCAGTCTATCATTTCTAATGAATTCATTTTTGTGAACTTATCCCTTAAGTTACTTTATCAATACAATATTGCCATGGAAAGATTTCATTATTTTTTATTTACTGCCAAAGGCGTCTACCATTACTAGAATTTAACTATAGGAATAGAAGTGTCTTCAGATGAATAGAAACACTTCAAAATAAGCTAAATAACCATTCAGTATCCATGGAGATCTCTCTCCAAAATAAGCTCAATAGCCATTCACCATCCATGGAGATTTCTCTCTCTCTCACTAAGTCTTACTTAGACAACCCATGTCTTGTTGGGTCATCACTGCAGAGATATTTCCTTATCTAAACACAGAAAGAGAATGTTCATTGTTGGGCAAAAACTAAGTGGGAGTGGAGCAGCTTCCAACTTCCTGCCAGCTCTTCACTGAATCCCCTTAAGAAAGATGGTGGGGGGCATCAGAAGTCAGTCTTCCTTCCTTCCTTCCTTCCTTCCTTCCTTCCTTCCTTCCTTCCTTCCTGCCTGCCTTCCTT